CAAATATGCCTCTGCGCTCTTAGTCTGAAAAAAAAACAAAAAGCAGGATATAAATAACTCACCACTGAACAACCTAATTAAATAATATCCATCACAGGATCAGAGCAGATGAGAAAGGCAGTCATCTAAGTGGTCATTAGATGGAAGCCCTGAGGTCCATCCGATCCTGGAAACTCTATTCACACATCTCCATCACACCTTCAAATGTCCACAGTTACATCCAGATCAAAAATTGCTTGGGTAACCTATTCTCGGGTGTCTCTGGCTTTGTTCACCCATAACTAATTGCTGACTGAAATTTAATTAATGGAATAAAGTGCCACCGCTTGTATCGCCAATGTGTGCTTCAGTTCTTCACAAGGAGAAGTGGGGCACTTGTTAATTTGGGCATCATTCGACATCCTCATAATGAGGTGGGTTAGGCTGAGAAAAGACAGGGATTGTGTCTAAGACGTGGCCATGTCAGGATTAGAAGCTGCTTCCCAGGGGTGTTTGGGTTACCATAGCTGGGCTGTGAGAATAACCTTGAGGGAGAGGAGGAAGAGTCGCAGGCAAGGCAATGGTCAGAAAAGAGAAATCTGAGCCCAAAGCAGAAATGTAATTTGAGAAAACGTCTCAGACTGGACTCTCCCCACTTCTCTTCAGGGGAAAGACAGGGAGTAGGGAGGCACATTCCAAGTTGCAAGGTTCTGTTACTGTAACCTTATTATAAAAGAAGTTTTAGTATTTGTAACTTTGGTGTTTCGAGTCTCCTCTACCTCAAAGAGCTGACGGTAGCTGACTGAAGTCAACTGATATAACTTGTTTTCCAGATTTTTTTTTTAATCGCAGCAGAGTGTGGCATTTTTCTAATGGTGCTTTCATTATTCCTTTCCTACCAAAAAAGAAACAGGTCAGTAGCAGAAAACAAGCCAGATGGGCCAGCCGGCCTGTTTTTTGCCAGCAAGCAGGGAACCAGAAGTGCCCTTGTGGAATCTGAGCATGTGCAGTGATATCACTGTATAAGCTCTGCTCAGCAGCCGTATCGTTGCACAAGCCCGTAAAGGAGGGGCTTGTGCAGTGATATCACCACGGGATGGGGCTCACCCTGCCTTATCGCACTTTGCTGCAGATGCCCCTGCTGGTTCCCCGTCGTAATTCTAATCTGACACTACTACGTTGTGCTGGCTGAGTCCCAACTCACCGCAAAGCATGACAAAAGGTTTGACCGTACCACAGTTAGTAATTTATTAATAAAAGCTTGCTAAATTCGCCAGCCCAACACTTTATGAGCATGACGCTGAATTCTTTTCCTTCCGTTCCAGGAATCAACCTGACATTGCGCTGGGGTTTCGGCAATGGGACTCCTTGGTGGAAAGAGCCCTTCCTGGTTTGGAGAGGTGCCAGCAGCTATTCCTCCATAACAACGTTTGAAGAAAATTCTCAGCATGACAGCCACTATCTCTTTGTCATTTACGAGAAGGGCGAGGACCATTATACAGAGAGCATTTCTGTGGCCAAGATTAGCCTCAACGGGCAGCTCTGACCATCCTCAAGGGCTCAACCAGCTCTCTTTCCAGGCATTTTAAATATTCTCAAACTTTGTAGTCGCAGGGAGAAGAAAATCTGTGCTGAGACTGGGGAGAAACCAAGCAGGCTTGTGAGGAGTCTAAACAGTGTGATTAAAGGACGTAGGTGGAGAGTTTGGGCATGTCCCAGCAGAAGTAGGAGTGGCTATACAGGACATTGTCCAGCCATGTCGTGCATTTCCCTTTGTGCCTACCTGCTGAGCCGCACACACTCAAACCTCTCCTTTATTTCTTTGTGGAAGAAAATGAGATAGAACCTGATTTTCTGTGATCTTTTTACATTTTGGAATGAGTTGAGATGTATGGAAACTCTGGGCAGATCAGGTAGGAGGGGCAGATCCATGGAATGAAACACAAAGGTAGGCTTGATCATATTTGTGATGAATAAGTTAATGCACCTTCACTGACTTTCTCAAAAATACATTAAATGGAAGAGTGCAGAAGATGTTGCTGGCTGGTCCAAAAAACTAAAATCTAAGTAGACAGGCCTGGGAGTTCACAAGTAAGGTGTGTGGGAGAGCAAACCAGTTTTTCTTCTGTGTCACCAATATCCGTGATTTCAAATGAATGTATTTAAAACCTATTTCCCGATTTTTCTGATGGAACAGGTTGCCTGTGTGGCTTACAAAAATAAGGCGAGTTGGGCCGTGAATTTTATACTATAAAAATAGATGGCACAAAAGAAAAAGTGATTGGGGGGGAAGGAGAACAAGCAGGTGATAGTTCTGAGAAACATTTGCAAAAATATTCTTCTAGACAGATATGCCTAAAGCAAGCTCTTTGCATCTGCTACTTCTCTACTGACAGATTGCAGGAGTGGGAAATCCTTGGGCTGCATTGAGCCCCCCCAAAACTTAGTTTTTACCCCTCCAGAACCTCGAGATCAGCAAAATGGTTGCATTTGGGTGGCCCGTCTTTCAAGGATGGATTGACAATAGTTTGTACCCCGTAGATTTCTGTTCCCATTCTTACACTAAAAATCCCAACCTTAAGTCCGCCCAGCTTCCAGTGGCTAAGCTTGAGAAACGCTGGTCTAACCAGTTGGAGTGCTTACCCTTGCTTATCTTTTGATGGTGAGTCTGTCATGCCTCATGGATTTGCTTTTGTTTACACCAGTGGTGTAACACAGTTGTGGCCACCTTGGGCTAGAGGTTAATCTGTACACATTTTGCTTTCTTTTCACTCACACATCTCTTTGTGGGAACTTCGCCCTCCAGTTATCTTGGAGCAGCCATAACCACTCCTTTATAAGTCCGTACTATGACTCTCGATCTGGTGTGCAAGCCAGCCTGCCCCTCCGGGGGATTTTCCCCCCCCCCTTTAATGTACAATCTTGTTTGGTACAGTCTTGTTTGATGGCCCGAGTTTTGGGGTATAGATTTCTTTCTTTTTTTTAACTAGTGCAATAGTCATTTTATTTTGGACAATTTTTATCAATTGATTACACGCCATCAAGTCGTTTTCGACTGCTTGATGGCATGCAGTCAGTCAATCCAACCATTTAACACCTTGGTGGGTGGCCAAGTTACAGGAGCTAAGTTCCAGTCTCTAAATTCTTTTTTGTCTCTTGAAAGAAGATAAGCGGGTAATTCCTGACACCAGAACAGCCACTACAAGGGTGCATGCAGGTAATAAAGCCACAAAGCTCACCTCGAGCTCCGGGCAACAGTCAAGTAGTATAATTGATATCATGAAGCCAATTCTTGGGAAAGAAGGGATCTGTACTCCAGGACATGATATACATAACAGATTTTTCACAGGCTTATCAGAAGCTTCATTGAATAAAACTTTAGTCATTCATAAATTGAGCAAGAAATTTTATTTTATTTTTTTTTGCATTTCAATTTTAAGCGATGGAGCTGAAAGAAAACCTGCACGTTACAGGGTGGGAACGGCTATTTTGGCCCAGGCGTTACAGGCTTGGTTTTTACAGCATTCCATTCTGCAAGGCCTCACAGCAATGTCCAATAAAAGCAAATCACTACAAAATGTCATCCAACAACAACAAAAAAATTGTCTAAGGAAGGAAAACTCAAAAAGGAGAGGGGAGGGAATCCATCATTCCAATCAGGGCATTTTTACTGTTTTATCTTGATTTGTATGTGGTTTGCCTTTTTATCTTGATTTTTATGCAGAGTGCCCTTTTCTAGATGTTCCAAGTAATCTCAACAGTTAGGGAGTAAATAAATGAAATAAATAAATGAAACTTGATTGCTTTTGTTAATTCAGCAGGGGTTTATCTCAGACTTCAACTTCTTGAATTATAATTCCCCCACTTTGAAAAATTAATAAAAGGCTTAATATTTTTTAAAGTGTGATTGCCTCCTTTGCCAGTCCAACCTATCACATACAATACATATGCCTTAAATGTGCTTCCTGCTTTGTGAAGGTTTTGTGGAACCTTGAACCTTAACCTGGCATAGATAACCTCATTCTACTCAGGTTTACTTGAAAGTAAATCCAGAAGTGAAGATTTCTAATCCTGGGGTTTAAGCACAATGTGTCCACCCCAATTTCTATAGACATTTTAGGACTGATAAAGACTACAAGTATGAAAGGGCCTTGGCAAATCTCTTAGATTTAATTTATCTCTTTTAATAGTTAAGACATGAGTTGGCGACCTTTCCAGGAGCTGGTTATTCTCCCAGGATATTTCAGATTACACCTCCCTTAATCTTAGTTGTAAGAACTGATGGGTGTTAGTACTGTATTTATGGGAAGGGCAGGACCATTTTGCCCACCCTTGGGAGAGAGCCAGCATAGCATTTGATCTAGACTAGTGTTTCTCAACCGTGGCAACTTCAAGATGTGTGGACTTCAACTCCCAGAATTCCCCAGCGAGCATGCTGACTGGGGAATTCTGGGAGTTGAAGTCCACATATCTTACAGTTGATAAGGTTGAGAAACCCTGACCTCGTCCAACACTCTGCCCACTGTGGGAATCTACTACTACACTCTACCTGATAAATATGCAGCCTCTGTTTAAACAGTCCAAGAAGATGGCTCAGGCCTAATCATTAACACAGGCACAGATAATCCAGATCTACTTGTAGAAGGAGAGGAGAAAAAGAAACTCGTAAGAAATGTGGGCGTGAGGACATCAAAATCCATAGAAACCTCCAGTTATATAAGACATGGGCATAGGCATCTACAGAAATCAGGCACAGGTATACAATTTATGCAGAAATAAGATTCATTCATTCACACACACACTCTGTAGAAATAATGTGTAGATGTGGAAATAAAATAGGCTGGCTGGGGAATTCTGAGAGTTGAAGCCCACACATTTTGAGGTTGCCACGGTTGAGAAACACTGGTTTAGAAGCTGTGACTTATCATCAAATCCCACTTGGCCCATTAAGGTCCTGGGAAAACCTTAGGCCAGGCCTCATCTTTCTGTCTAACCTACTCCACAGGGTGGTTGTGAAACAAAAGGAGATGGATGCATGCCATCCTGAGCTGCTTGGAAGACAGGGTAGGATAGAAATGACCGTGTCACTAAAGCTGAGCACCATGACGTTGCCCGTGGCTCTTAAGCAGCTTTTTTGATCCTCGTGTTCTCCTAACCCGACCGGCTTTGTTCGCTAATGAGGGCAGAGGACAGCTGCGCTAAACACAAGTATTAAAAGCCCTAGAGAGAAGCAAGCTTGAACTCTGCCAACAATGAAGCAGGAGAAATGCTGGAACGGGCTGGGCACTAGGACCTTGGGGCGGGTACCTGGCTCAGAAGTGGTACCCGCTTGGCTGGAAGCAGAAGACATCCGAGCTGTTTGGAGCATCATTGCTACGGAATCATGGCCAGCCAGACCCAAGGAATTCAGCAGCTGCTGCAGGCGGAGAAGAGGGCTGCGGAGAAGGTGGCGGAGGCTCGAAAACGTGAGTGGGAGCTCCTGGTTGTTAGGGAAGGTGGTAGATGAGGATCGGGGTGGAAGCTGAAAAGCAGAACACCCACGTTCTCAGGAGGAGATTTGGAGGAAGGCAGGGCCTTGAAAGGACCTCTCCTTCTCCATCTCTTTCTCCGCCTCTTTCCTCGGACCTCTCTTTCTCCACCCCAGGAAAGGCCAGGCGGCTGAAGCAGGCCAAGGAAGAAGCCCAGGCTGAAATTGAGCAATATCGTTTGGAGCGCGAGAGGGAGTTCCAGCAAAAACAACAGGCGGTGAGAACAAGGGGGCTCGATCTGGGCAGGGGGCTTGGCCTTGGGCTATTCTGTGTGATGAAAATCAGAGGACGGGTCTGGGGAGAAGAGTAAAAGGTGAGCAGGGGCTGGGGATGACGGAGTGGGAGCTTCTAAGGAAGCGTGATGGGAATTTGGAGAGGAGGAAGAGAGAAAGGGTGGTACAGAGGCAGAGGAAGATGGGAGTTGGGGTAGCCTTTGTAATTTCCATTCTAGTTTAGGACAGGGAGATGTGCATCAAGAACAAGGTTTCTGAGATAAGACGCCAGGGTGAGCCCAATATGTTTGCTTCCCCCTGAAGTCAAGGTATGGAGGACCCATCATCTGGCTCTTTCGAAAGAACCATTCGCTGCTCTTTCTTGTCCCCCCAAATCACTTGCCAAGGTTGGCCACCTCACTCCACCTGACAGTAGGGCCGGTCCTGGAACGTTTCAGGATCGTCTCTGGATCCGTGGGACATACGGTTAGATCGCCTGATTGATCGCCTGACCTTCAGCTCTGGAAAGCTCACAAAGCAAAGCTATTAAAATGGTTGAGAGAATCGCATTTTTTAATTATGCTATTTATTCTTTATTATTGGGGAGTGCCTTTTGTGTTGTTTCCTCGCCTCGCTAGCTGTTAAGTTGGCACGGCACAGATTATGCATCTGTGAGCAAAAATCTGGAAGTTCTCGGTAGAGGCGAGATGATCAGAGGGTACATTTCTTAATTGTTGAACAGCCAAGGATTGTCGGAGGCATGACAAGAAAGCAACTCGGGAAGGTCTGGAATTTTAGGCCCTCTCTTGGGCTCAGTCTATTTCAAAATAAGTATATTAAGCCTACTGGAAGCTGAATTGAGTTTACTTTTAATTTTATAGGACTGCAGGGAATTGTGTCGCTGTTCCATCCTAAATTGGGGAGAATTTCTGCAGCAGCCTCTCTTAACACGTTGACTTCTCTTTCCTTGTGGAAGGAAAAAAAACAGTCAGTTGTTATTTGGAGTCCTGCATTCATTTCAAATTTAAGTTTCTTATTTGCGCCTTTCCCCTTATTTGTGCTTCATTTCTCAGCTGTTGTCATGTTGGAACAATCCTGATTTTTTTTTTTCCTCTAGGCTCTGGGCTCGCAAGGGAATCTGTCTGCAGAAGTGGAGGCTCAGACCCGCAAAAAGCTACAAGCTATGCACGGAGGGCAAGCTCGGGGCAAGGACCAGGTCCTGCGTCACCTTCTCACTGCTGTGTGGAAAGTGCAGCCTCAAATTCACCCCAATTTCCGCCTGGCTGTCTAAAGGGCCCAGCGACCCTGCCTGCAGTTGTCCGGGGGACCTCTGACGTACTCGAAGGCCTTTGACCTCCAAAATATAAATTTTAGATGCCCAAGTGCCCTATTCCCCTACTTCCACCTACAGCTTCACTGAATCCTACAGATCTAACATCCTGTTCTCCCAAAAGCTTCCCCTTCATTCTTTACCCCTGCTTTGCTGTATCTTGAATCAAGGCTCTGAATTGCATTGGATAGTATGAGTAACCCATTATGCCCAACAGATGCAAAAGAGAGGAACTTCCTACTTCTTCTGGACATTGGCCACACTCTTCATACCAAGACACGCGCCAGCTTTCAAAGTACATCTATAGGTTATTCTCTATCTATTTTATTCATTCATTCATTCATTCATTCATTCATTCATTCATTCATCTATTTATTTATGTATTTATCAGATTTGCCACGCCCATCTCGTGAAACGACTCTGGGCGGTTTTCCACAAAAAATAAAATAATTTAAAAAAAAAAAAAAAAAAAAA